CGGAGCTGTGAAGATGAGTGTCTTCCTCTCTATCGCCCTGGGGGTGGGTAGTGGAAGACTCTTCCAGGTGGGGGGCAGGAGTGTTGTTGGCCAATGTCAGGCTCTCTCCACGGGAGAGGAAAGGGGATGGGTTGGGTCGGTGTCCATAGGGGCAGGTGATTTTTGTGTTGCCTAGGGCAGCACAAAACCTAAATACACCACTGATGTACAGTAATTAAGAAGTGGAAGGTATTTGGAGCGATGACCTGATCCAGGGAGGGTCTGTGTTGTGCCAAACTGGGTGAAAGAGCCAGGAGGAAACTGGCCAGAGAGGCTACCTAGAGGCCTACAGAAACTTTGAAGAAGTTGCAGGAATTGATGGCAAAGAGTGGTCATTGAGTGCATGTGACAACAAGATCACAAATCTCCACAAATGTGGCTTGTATGGGGGGTTGCAAAAAGAGCCACTCCTCAAGAAAGACCACATACAGTCATGACCAGGGGCGGACTGACAACTCATGGGGCCCCCCGGGCAATAGGGGATCATGGGGGCCCGTTGTCCTTGCCCAAACTTAAAAAAGCCTATGAAAAAGGTACCAGGGGCATCTCCTGGGGCCCCCTACTGATCCCGAGCAGTGCCTGAGTTTCCAAATGGTCAGTCCGCCCCTGGTCATGACTGAGTTTTGCCAAAACGCACCTTGAAGATTCTGAGGCCACATGGAGAAAGGGGTTCTGGTCAGATGAGATTGGCCTCAACACTGAACGATATGTCTGGCGGAAGTCCAATCCAGCTCACCATCCAAATTCCACCATTCCTCCAGTACAGCATGGAGGGATTTCTCTGCAGTAGGGATTGGAGCACTTGTCAGGATAGAAAAATGGATGGGGCAAATCCCGTCACATTCTGGAGGAACATCTGCTGCCCTCTGCCAGAAAGCTGTCAATGGGAAGAAGGTTTACCTTCCAACATGACAATGGTCCAAAGCCCACAGTGGTTGGAGGAGGAGAAGATGAATGTCCTTGCATGGCCTAGTCAGAGCCCAAACTTAAACCCCATAGAAAATCTGTGGAATGACTAGAAGACTGCAGTCCACAAACGGTCACCATCAAATGTCACTGAACTTGAGCAGTTCTGCAAAGAAGAGCGGGCAAATATTGCAAAGTCTAGATGTGCAAATTAGTAGAGACATCTCCCAACAGAGCAAAGGCTGGAATTACAGCAAAAGAGGGTTCAACAAAATACTGACACAAGGAGGTCATCCTTTTTCCAACTCAGCGATTCTGTTTTTGAAATTTCTTATGAGTTGTTGGTGTTCTATCTTTCACTTGAATGTTATAAGTTGCACTGAGTAAATACAGCTGGATAAAACAAAAACGGTGTCTCTGTCTTCATTTCAGGCTGCAAAGCAACTAAATGTGATTATTTTAAAGTGTTACTAAGTCCACAACAGAAAGAATCAGTCTATATATGCAGTAAAGCATGCTTGTTATACTCACAGTGGAACCTAAGGGGTTAATCCTCCGAATTGTGTAAAAAGGCTGTTTGATTCTGACTTCTCTGATCCTCCCCTTCTTCCAATGCCCCCCTCTAACCTCCTGATAAGATATATGTGTGGAGTCACTCTGCACATGTTCAGCTTGGTGTGTATCGCTAGAGAGGTTTTTTTTTTTTGCTTGGGAGAGTGCATATGATCAGCATAGGGCCAATCAGCACTGTCCAAACAGAGGTCAGGGGTTCTGCATCCTCCTACAGCAGAAAGAATACTCCTCCTACAAGCTTTAACTAGTGCTCTGTTGATCACTGATAGAAGTCACCAGACTGCTATATACTGCTGATGAGAAAAGGTATTTAGCAGTCTATATTTACTAAAATAATTGCATTTCCATGTTGTGTGTATTGTGGGAGACTAGATATAGTGAATGCGGGGTCCTGGGAGACCAGATATAGTGAATGCAGGGTCTGGGGAGACCAGATATAGAGAATGCGGGTTCCGGGGAGACCAGATATAGTGAATGCAGGGTCCGGGGAGACCAGATATAGTGCATGCGGGGTCCGGGGAGACCAGATATAGTGCATGCGGGGTCCTGGGAGACCAGATATAGTGAATGCAGGGGTCCGGGGAGACCAGATATAGTGAATGCAGGGTCCGGGGAGACCATATATAGTGAATGCAGGGTCCGGGGAGACCAGATATAGGGAATGCAGGGTCCGGGGGGACCAGATATAGTGAATGCGGGGTCCGGGGAGACCAGATATAGTGAATGCGGGGTCCGGGGAGACCAGATATAGTGAATGCGGGGTCCGGGGAGACCAGATATAGTGAATGCAGGGGTCCGGGGAGACCATATACAGTGAATGCAGGGTCCGGGGGGACCAGATACAGTGAATGCGGGGTCCGGGGAGACCAGATACAGTGAATGCAGGGTCCGGGGAGACCAGATATACAGGTGAAACTCGAAAAATTAGAATATGGTGCAAAAGTTCATTTATTTCAGTTAATGCAACGTAAAAGGTGAAAATAATATATGAGATAGACTCATTACATGCAAAGCAAGATAGTTCAAGCCGTGATTTGTCATCATTGTGATGATTATGGCTTACAGCTCATGAAAACCCCCAAATCCACAATCTCAGAAAATTTGAATATTACATTCAATCAATAAAACAAGGATTGCACATAGAACAATATCGGACCTCTGAAAAGTATAAGCATGCATATGTACTCAGTACTTGGTTTGGGCCCCTTTTGCAGCAATTACTGCCTCAATGCGGCATGGCATGGAAGCTATCAGCCTGTGGCAGTGCTGAGGTGTTATGGAAGACCAGGATGCTTCAATAGTGGCCTTCAGCTCTTCTGCATTGTTCGGTCTCATGTCTCTCATCTTTCTCTTGGCAATGCCCCATAGATTCTCTATGGGAGTCAGGTCAGGCGAGTTTGCTGGCCAATCAAGCACAGTAATCCCACGGTCATTGAATCAGGTTTTGGTGCTTTTGGCAGTGTGGGCAGGTGCCAAGTCCTGCTGGAAAATGAAGTCAGCATCCCCATAAAGCTTGTCTGTGGAAGGAAGCATGAAGTGCTCCAAAATCTCCTGGTAGACGGCTGCGTTGACCCTGGACTTAATGAAGCACAGTGGACCAACACCAGCAGATGACATGGCTCCCCAAATCAACACAGTCTGGAAACTTCATACTGGAATTCAAGCATCTTACAGTGTGTGCCTCTCCATTCTTTCTCCATACTCGGGGTCCATGGGCCTCTCCATTCTTCCTCCATACTCGAGGTCCTTGGTTTCCAAATGAGATGCAAAAGTTGCTCTCATCAGAAAAGAGGACTTTGGACCACTGAGCAACAGACAAGGTCTGATTTTCTTTAGCCCAGGTAAGACGCTTCTGAAGTTGTTTGTTGTTCAGGAGCGGCTTGACAAGAGGAATACGACATTTGAAGCCCATGTCCGGGATCCGTCTGTGTGTGATGGCTCTTGATGCACTGACTCCAGCCTCAGTCCACTCCTTGTGAACACTTTTGAATGGCCTTTTCCTGACAATCCTCTCCAGGCTACAGTCATCCCTGCTGCTTGTGCACCTTATTCTTCCACACTTTTCCCTTCCACATAACTTTCTATTAATGTGCTTTGATACAGCACTTTGGGAACATCCAACTTCTTTTGCAATTACCTTTTGAGGCTTTCCCTCCTCATGGAGGGTGTCAATGATGGTTTTCTGCACAACTGTCAGGTCAGCATTCTTTCCCATGATTGTGATTCCTACTGAACCAGACTGAGAGACCATTTAAAGGCTCAGGAATCCTTTGCAGGTGTTATGGCTTAATTAGCTGATTAGAGTGGGACACTTTGAGCCGAGAATATTGCACCTTTTCACAATATTCTCATTTTCTGAGATTGTGGATTTGGGGTTTTCATGAGCTGTAAGCCATAATCATCACAATTATGACAAATCATGGCTTGAACTATCTTGCTTTGCATGTAATGAGTCTATCTCATATATTAATTTCACCTTTTATGTTGCATTACTGAAATAAATGAACTTTTTTTTATTCTAATTTTTCAAGTTTCACCTGTAGTGAATGCAGGGTCCGGGGAGACCAGATATAGTGAATGCAGGGTCCGGGGGGAGACCGGATATAGTGAATGCAGAGTCCGGGGAGACCAGATATAGTGAATGCAGGGTCCGGGGAGACCAGATACAGTGAATGCAGGTCTGTCCGGGGGGGGTCCAGGGAGACCAGATATAGTGAATGCAGGGTCCGGGGAGACCAGATGAAATGCAGGGTCTGGGGAGACCAGATATAGTGAATGCAGGGTCCGGGGAGACCAGATACAGTGAATGCAGTGTCTGGGAGACCAGATATAGTGAATGCAGGGTCTGGGGAGACCAGATATAGTGAATGCAGGGTCCGGGGAGACCAGATATAGAGAATGCAGGGTCTAGGGAGACCAGATATAGTGAATGCAGGGTCCGAGACCAGATATAGTGAATGCAGGGTCCAGGGAGACTGGATACAGTGAATGCAGGGTCCGGGGAGACCAGATATAGTGAATGCAGGGTCCGGGGAGACCGGATATAGTGAATGCAGGGTCCGGGGAGACCGGATATAGTGAATGCAGGGTCCGGGGAGACCAGATATAGTGAATGCAGGGTCTGGGGAGACCGGATATAGTAAATGCAGGCTCCGGGGTTTAGTAACACTTTAAATGGGGATGATTCTTTTCTATACCCACTGTGAATGCTTCCTGCAAATGCCAGTGGCGTGTTCCCAGGCCCACGTACCATCACACGAGCCTCTGCCTTCCCTGCTGAATTTTTAAAATTGTTCTATTAGGGATAGAATGGGAACACCCCAAGGTCTATGGGAAAATAGTCGAGAACCTGGGCAGGGCGATCTCACAGCTGGAGCCCCAAATGAAGTCAACGGGGGGCTCAACATGTCAGATTCCTGACCATTTAAAGAGCACCAGTCATCTGTAAAGATCCAGTATAGAAGGCATGTAGAAGCACTCACTCCTCCTGGATCATGTCTGCCTGCGGATGATTGAGATGACGAGCCAGCAGGGCATCCGTTTCCAGCACCACAATCAGCTTCTCCGACTCCAAGATGTTCTGGTAGGTGTTGTCCTTGTGCATCACAGGCTGGGAAGAGACAATCTTGTCCACATCCTGCAGGGAAGACAAAGCGATTAACACGTGAACAGATTCATATGACCCACGTTGATGGGATGTTCATGGTTTTCTGGTCTAATCGTGATGGACCACATTTACTAAAGGGATTTACATAGAAACTGCCTGTGGTGCCTCCCAGTAACCAATCAGACTGCAGCTTCTGCTGGAAAAGCACACGTTTCAATTAGATTGGTTAATATACATATAACCAAGTGTACCTGTCAACCAAAAAGGTACCCATATACAAGTTAAAGGAAGAGAGAGAGAGAGAGAAAAAAATATATATAATAATAAAAAAAAAATATAAATAAATATATATATATATATATATTTATATAAAAATTAGAATTATTTTTTTTTATTTCGTTTATGGGGGGGGGGGGGTTGCCCATCTGTGTTTGGGTGCTGAATAAATGGCACTGCAGCATTTCAATGCACAACATAGGTGTTTCCCACCTTACTGCATGCATTCCTGTGGCCCAAAAGTGTGAACCAAGCCTTGTGTTCTATTTTCTAAGAGTTTTTTTCCCTTTTTTGATCATTTATTGTTTGCTGACTTTGACATTTTTAAAGTTACTTTTTCTATCTGAAAAAAAACCCAAAACATAAAATAATGCAGCTAATGAAGAATCTCAGCCGTCCTTGGGAAGGACTGCAGATGTCAGAGGGCCATTAGAGGGAGTATTTTCACATCTGCAAGTCATTAGATCTCAGCATTGGGGAGGTTAGTTTGCAAACAAGGAGTTGCGTTTACATAACTGAGGATTTGGGGTGGTGGCAATCACTGAGAAGTTTAGTGTTAGGGTTAATTTTAGGTTTGAATTCACAGGGAGGGTAAGTGTGAGGGTTATGGTTGGGGTTACAGGGAGGGATCGTATTAGGGATATAGGGAGGTTAGTGTTAGGTTTAGAGTTATAGGGAGGGTTAGGGTTATATTCAGGGGAAAAGAAGAAGTATGGCCAAAGCTTTTGGGTATACTTTTCCTGTGGCTCATAGAAGTGCACTTAGTTCTGAATTCCTGTGATCCGTATTCAGCTAAAGCCCCCTGTTGGCTGACATCACAGAGCCGATCAAGGCTCTGCAGGGATTCTGACAATAGTGTCAGGATCCACCCAGATGCCTGACTGGCAGATGGCTCTGTCTCTCAACGCACCGCTGGGAGACTGAGCCAATCGGTCTCGCTCTCCACAGCCCGGAACTCCAGTGAGTCCTGGAGGGGCAGAGCAGAGAGCCAGTGACTGACAGTCATCGCTTTGAGCTCAGAGTGGATATGAGAACTGAGAGATCAGCTGTCTTTGATCACTCAGTTCTCGGTGTAGAGTCAGCGGGGGGGGGGGGGGGACAGATGCAGTAGTTTGTTTTTTCTTTTAATCTGGCACTTCTCTTTAACCTCTTGCACCGGCCGAGCGGCCACAGATTTGTGGTCTATTAAAAAAACCATATGTGCTGAGAGCGCGCACCCAGCACGCTCCCAGCACACACTCTTTTTCGATCAGGACCTTTCCAGATCATGTGACCGCCGTGACAGCGAATCACGGGGTCACATGACCTTAAAACCCCACCCCGCCTCCCGGCTTCTGGAACCCTTAAAGGGCCGGGAGGCGCTAGCGCCAGGGGGTTGAATGTCTGAGTTATAGGGAAGGTTGAATAGTATTAGGGTTACAGTGAGGGTAAGTGTGAGTTATGGGGAGGATTGGAGTTACAGGCAGGGTTAGTATTGGGGTTGCAGGGAGGGTTAGTGTTGGGGTTACAGGCAGGGTTAGTAATGGGGTTACAGGGAAGGTTAATGTTGGGTTAGTGTTGGGGTTACAGGCAGGGTTAGTATTGGGGTTACAGGGAAGGTTAATGTTGGGGTTACAGGCAGGGTTAGTATTGGGTTACAGGGAAGGTTAATGTTGGGGTTAGTGTTGGGGTTACAGGGAAGGTTAATATTGGGATTAGTGTTGGAGTTACAGGGAGGGTTAATGTTGGGGTTAGTGTTTGGGTTACATGCAGGGCTAGTATTGGGGTTAGAGGGAGGGTTAGTATTGGGGTTACAGGCAGGGTTGGTATTGGGGTTAGTATTGGGTTACAGGGAGGGTTAGTATTGGGGTTACAGGCAGGGTAGTGTGGGGTTACAGGCAGGGTTGGTATTGGGGTTAGTATTGGGGTTACAGGGAGGGTTAGTATTGGGGTCACAGGGAGGGATAGATTTTGGGTTACAGGGGTGGTTAATGTTTGAATTATAGAGAGTCATTTTATTTTTCTGCTTCTTTATTTTTCCTTAAGTGTTGCCACTTTTTGTAAGAATTACTTTTTTTGGATATAACAATATAAATTTTTATTTATAAAGTTTTTAAAGTTTTTTTTATTTATAACTTTTTTTTAATAAATGTATTATATTTATAAAAAAGTGTCATTTTAAATATTTCTTATATGTTATTATTTTGTTGATATAATTTGTTTTATTTTTACACATTTTCCTTTCTTCTTTTTTTTTTTTTTTGCTGGCGTTTGGTGCATTGTTTTATTTATACCTTTTTTATTTTGGTCATTAATATCTATCTTTATTATTTGCATTTTTTTTCTTTTTTTAAGGTATGATACATAATTTACACTTTTTTTTTTTACTTTTTCCTGTATGTGTTGATGTTGTGTTTTTGTGCAGTAGTTGTCGGTTTTAATAAAAAAAAAGCCTAATTTATGAGTATAATTATTATCTATCAAAGTATGCGATATTATGGTAGATTGGCCACAGTGGCGCCCCTAGGCAGGTGTGGGCCGCATCGGGTGACACCTATGACACTGGACACACTCTACGAAAAGGTAAGTTTTAAAGCAAGCAGACAAGTCCAATCCATTATGCTCCCCAATCCGCAGATCCGATCCATCCTGCGGGGATCGTCGGTTTGCAACCTATACGGGGTTAACTGATCTCTCCACGAAAAGGTAAGTTTTAAAGCAAGCCGACGATCCCCGCAGGATGGATCGGATCTGCGGATTGAGCATGATGGGTCGGAGTCTGATCCATTATGCTCCCCATTCCGCAGATCCGATCCATCCTGCAGGAATCGTCGGCTTGCAACCTATACGGGGTTAACTGATCTCTCCACGAAAAGGTAAGTTTTAAAGCAAGCCAACGATCCCCGCAGGATGGATTGGATCTGCGGATTGAGCATGTTGGATCGGAGTCTGATCCATTATGCTCCCCAGTCCGCAGATCCGATCCATCTTGCGGGGATTGTCGGCTTGCAATCTATACGGGGTTAACTGATCTTTCCACAAAAAGGTAAGTTTTATAGCAAGCTGACGATCCCCTCAGGATGATTCGGATCTGCGGATTAAGCATAATGGATCAGAGTCCGATCCATTATGCACCCCAATCCGCAGATCCGATCCATCCTGCGGGGATCATCGGAGGGGTGACACCAAGTGTTACCGCACCGGGTGACACCAACCCTAGGGACGCCCCTGATTGGCCATATTGGCGTGGCTGTGAATGACTTTTTTTTTTAGCGTTGCTGCGGGTTACTGCTCCAGTTTTCTTCCAGTCTTCTTTATTTATGTTGTCATTCATGTCACGGGATTACAGCCCCAGGTGTGGCGGCAGGGTAGAAAGGTGTCATCATCGCTCTTTCTGATGCCATGTATGCATCAAGTAGGGCGAAGTGATGGGGGGGGGTCACTCGCAGTTCCCCCCCCCCCAAATCAGAATTTCTGAGATGATTTTTACCTTTTGAAGCTTGGTGTCGGTGTCCACGATATATCGCTCCACTTGGTCGGCATTTTTCTGCAGTCGGTCGATGAGCTCCGACAGTTCCTTGTTGGAGGAGACCCTGTAAGAGGGGAGAGAAGGAGACCCGAAGTCAGCCAGGCACAACATGCTCGGAGCTCAGCAGTCACACAGCTTTGGATGTCCTCCCACCCCTCTGCTTCCCACCCCTGGGCTGACCGAGAGCCGTGTGGATGCCAAGGGGGAGCTCGGACTGGATCCCTGCCAGCTCATTAGCTGGTGACTCACCCGGCCTTTTGTATTACTTTCCAAACTGTGCGCATGCTGCAGCCAGGGGATCAGGCTAGATAACAGTGCGTGTGTGTCAGCAACGCTCCCATCTGCACACTACAAGCACCACTGTCATCCTTATTGAACACTCATCCTTATTGAACACACTCACCACTGTATCCTTATTGAACACGTATTGAACACTCAGGCCTGGCCATCTTGGAACCCATGGTGCGTAGGCAGACCCTGCCGCTACGGAACAGCGCTAGGCACATATATAGAACACGTTTCATGGACAGGTTACCTTTAGGGCCCATTCACACGTGTGCGTTGTGGTAGCATGCGCCAAATCGCGCGTTGCCATAATGCACAGCAAATCACGGTGCGTTGCAGTGCCATTCCAGGGGCGGACTGACATCTCATGGGGCCCCCGGGCAACAGGGGATCATGGAGCCCCTGTGTCCTTGCCCAAACTCAAAAAAGGTACCAGGGGCATCTCATGGGGCCCCTACTGACCCCGGGCCCTCGGGCATTGCTGCGTTTCCAAATGGTCAGTCTGCCCCTGTGCCGTTCATTGTAAAATGGAACCCCGACACATTATACAGATGAGCCCATCGCACCCCAGGCTGCTGTACAGTACATCACAGCGCAGTACATCACATGCATCGCTCTCTTTCTCCTCCCTTTGCTAACGTCACTTCCGGATCCTCGGAGCGATTGTTGACTACAGCACACTTAGGTTTGGGTATATTAAATCTGTTCTGTGTATATCCGCGGCAATATCTGGCTATATAAAGAGAATAAATCCGACGCAGGCAGAAAAATGGTGTTGCCACTCCCCTTCTCCTGTGAGTGACATGCTGTGCTAAAGATGAGACCAGCATGAGCCTCCTGCAAAGGGTTTGGGGGAGCCGGTGTCCTCTCCTTGCTGGTCTCTGCCTTCACAAAAACGAGAACTTGGCACCAGTGATTTATGACATAGATTGGCATCACTTCAGTAATGCTGTAGTTATCTAGTGCGTATTAAATATCTGGAGGCACCTAGTGGAAATCAGTACCCACCAGAGGAGGAAGTACCACCACCATTGCTGAAGAGATCCCCAAGGTGCTGTGGGAGGATTTCCTAAGAGGCAATTGTCTGGCTCATTGGTCCTGCGGGGCCTGGGCAGGAAGGTGAGGGGGCACCCCTGTCATTTTGGATTCACGTTTGAAGCTGGGAGAACCTGCATGATTTTTGTGTGTGTGTTTCATATTACAAGACGGACTTATATTACTGGGAGGACTCACAGCACTTGTGCCATTTCATTGGTTTTTTATTTAAGGATGTGGAAAGGGCAATTATAGCGCTGCACTGTTTTATAATTTTGCTCCGGAGCTTAGTAGATGGGGTAAAGCTTCACTTTGCAAAGAATACCCAATCACAAGCAAGAAATTTAAAAAAAAAAAAACAGCATTTTTGCTTGCACATGATTGGATGATAGACATCAGCAGAGCTTCCCCTTGGATCTAGAGCAACTGCACTTGGAGTGCACAGACTATTTGCCTTTAGTGACTCAACCCCATTGTAAGATAGAGCCCAATGCACCCCATCGCATTGTACAGTAGAGACCAAAGCACACCAATACATGGTATGGTACAGCTCAACACACCTCAACACGTTGCCTAAGGCACCCCAACATTGTACAGTAGAGCCTAAGGCACCCCAACATTGTACAGTACAGCCCAACATACCCTATCGCATTGTACAGTACAGGCCAACGCACCCCAATGCATTGTAGAGTACAACACACCGCATTGCATTATTATTATTATACAGTATTTATAAAGCACTCAGCGCTGTACATTACAATGGGAGACAGAACATGCGACAGTACAATAACAATACAATGCGATACACGAGGGCTTCGAGGGCCCTGCTCCTTGGAGCTTACAATCTAGGAGATTGTACAGTACAGCCCAACACACCCCATGGCATTGTACAGTACAGCCCAACACACCCCAATGCATTGTACAGTAGAAAACAAAGCACACCAATACATGGTATGGTAGAGCTCAACACAACTCAAACGTTGTATAGTAGAGCCTAAGGCACCCCAACATTGTACAGTGGTTCCTAACAGGGGCGGACTGACAACTCATGGGGCCCCTGGGCAATAGGGGATCATGGGGCCCCTGTGTCCTTGCCCAAACTCAAAAAAGCCTATGAAAAAGGTACCAGGAGCATCTCATGGGGCCCCCTACTGACCCCGGGCCCTCGGGCAGTGCCCAAGTTTCCAAATGGTCAGTCCGCCCCCGGTTCCTAATGTATTGTACAGAAGAGGCCAACACACCCCAATGCATTGTACAGTACATCCCAACGCACCCCATCATATTGTACAGTACAGCCCAACACACCCCATCGCATTGTACAGTACAGCCCAACACATCCAATGCATTGTATAGTACAGCCTAACACTTTAGAGTAAAATGCATTTCATCACTATATACAGTACAGCCCAATGCACCCCAATAAATTGCACAGCAGAGCCTAACACATTGTATGGTAAAGCCAAGGGCATTGTTTTCAGCAGGAACATAGGGGTACGCAGCTCCAGCACCTCCAGCACTGAATGTGTATAATGGTAAGGGGTACTGGGGTGTGCTGGCTCCTACGAGATCTAGTGTTGCTGGAGGGCATCTATTTTTGCATGGTGGTCTACTGTTTCTAGGCAGTTTCTATTGCTGCTTGTGGGGGGGTCTATGGTTGCTGGGAGAGATTTACTGATGATGGAGGGGTCTGTAGTTGCTGGCTGCTGGAGGGCTTATTGATGCTGGCTGCTGGATCTGTTATTGCTGTGGGGGTTTGGAGATCTTCACACTCTTTGTCAGCTGGTGCATGTGCTCTGAAGGAACAGTATACCCGGCCATGTCCAGAGACTCCCCAGCGCATGTGCGGGAGTGACATTATTGTGGCTTGGCCAATCAGACAGCTGGAACTCACGAACCTGGAAGGAAGATTTGACTATACAGTATGTAAAGCACAGGTGTACATTTCCAGTGCTGTATAAAAATCTAGTTGTAGTTCATCATTATCCTACTGTGATTATTGTGTGGAGTCCATTACAGGAATATCCACATACAGGGCTGTGGATAAGGGGGTACCACCAGTCCTCATGTACAGGGCCCAGGTCTGCCGGGGGGCCCAGGTAGATGGGTAAATCATAGGTGGGCAGAGAGGGCGATTGGCACAGTGGGGGGTGTGCATTTACTGGAACCGATCCCCTTTATGGCTCTTTTTGCAGCAGCAGCTCCTCTTTCTCCTGCTGGCTATCTGCTGCAGAAGAGAGTACCAAAACAGGGGATCAGTTCCAGTAATTGCCCCCCCCCCCCCCACTGCACCCATCACCCTCCATGTGCCCCATACATTTCCCCTGCTGCCCAGGACCCCCTGTGTGCCCCCAATCCTGCAGTGCTTCCCTCCTGCCCACTCCACTGGCAACTGCAAGCACTCAATAGGATCCTCTAGGACTGAAAGTGGAGGAAGCGTGTGGGAAAGGTCACATTTATCAGCCCCTTTCATTTTTGAATGAACTCAATGAGTGATCTGTACCAATTGCTGTGTTTATTCATTACTGAAGCATACTAAACTAGCAGTAAACACATTTTTTTTGGGGGGTGGGGGCCCTGTCAGGTATGCTGTATGGGGCCCCGTATTTTCTAAACAGCAACCCTGTCAGTTGTACATCCTCGTAGAATTTTACTTGACTCCAGGGAAACCCAATTAGGACTTTTTAAACTGTCAGGCATGTGAGATGTAATGAACACAGAACTGGTCATATGGATCTATTTCCCAGATTCCTGCACGCCACATGATTTCTGGAATAGATTTCTCACCTCATAGTCCTCCGTCACGTCAAGACTCATACATATGATATAATTACTTACAGACGCCACCAAATGTTGCGTCTCCTTCCACAAAACCAAAATGGATAAGCGTGCTTATTTTCATATAATTATGTTTATTGAGACCCACAAAGGCTATATAGTAAATCCTCTTTGTGAGCATCAAATGACTTTGCAAACCCAGATATTACCATGTAAAAGTAGCAGTGACATCATCCCTGTGCTGTACATAGCCTGTGCAGAGAGCAGTTGTTCGGGAACTGAAGGAGGGACCCAGCAGCTCCATCCACTATTTATTTATTTTATTTATTTCAGGTACTTATATAGCACTGTCAATTTACGCAGCGCTTTACATATATATTGTACATTCACATCAGTCCCTAACCCTCAAGGGGAGTACAATCTAAGGTCCCTAACCCTCAAGGGGTGTACAATCTAAGGTCCCTAACCCTCAAGGGGCGTACAGTCTAAGGTCCCTAACCCTCAAGGGGCGTACAGTCTAAGGTCCCTAACCCTCAAGGGGCGTACAATCTAAGGTCCCTAACCCTCAAGGGGCGTACAGTCTAAGGTCCCTAACCCTCAAGGGGCGTACAGTCTAAGGTCCCTAACCCCCAAGGGGGTGTACAGTCTAAGGTCCCTAACCCCCAAGGGGTGTACAATCTAAGGTCCCTAACCCTCAAGGGGTGTACAATCTAAGGTCCCTAACCCTCAAGGGGTGTACAATCTAAGGTCCCTAACCCTCAAGGGGTGTACAATCTAAGGTCCCTAACTCACATTCATACATACACATACTAGGGGCAATTTAGACAAGAGCCAATTCACCTACCAGCATGTCTTTGAAGTGTGGGAGGAAACCAGAGTACCCAGAGGAAACCCACACAGGCACAGGGAGAACATGCAAACCCCAGGCAGGTGGTGCCGTGGTTGGGATTTGAACCAGCAACCCTAGTACTGCCAGGCGGAAGTGCTAACCATTTAGCCACTGTGCTGCCCTAAAC